TAAGCAAAGAACAAGTTAGTGTCAGGTCAACCGTATGAAGGCGACATTACGGTTGTTTCGGGTTAGATTACAGTTAGTTTACAGATACTTTCACGTTAGAGTTAGGTTTAGTAAGGATAAGTGTTATTGTTAGGCTTAAAAGACCCAAATAATTACATGCGTAGAACGGGGCTAAATTACTTTCTTGATATAAGAATAGAACTTGTGCACTGTGATGGTAGGGCACAATTCAACTGCGATTGTAATTTATTTTGAAAATGTTCGACAGCGTTATACAGTAATGCTTGCTGATGGCGTTTCGAAGACAATTTTCGCACAGTATATTTACTGTATAACGCTATGAGACTTTATCAAAATAAATTTCACCCACAATCGATTTATACTCTGTCGATACTCCAACCTAAAACTGAGAGATATTTTTATCACATGTGAGAGGATTGTATACTCTGAAAAACTTTTATGCAGTTTTTATGCATTTTCTTATAAATATTTTTATTCCATAGACATTGATGCGTTCGAGGTCACTCAGTGACTGGTACTTAGTGGTGCTTAAAGTTTAACTTTGCTCTTAGCCGTAACTATTTCGTTGTAAAATCGGTAAACTTGACATGACCCTCACTACTCACACTTCTAGTCCTTCATAGAAGTGTTTACTGATGATGAATATTTAACAGTATAAAATGCAATTTAGATGCATCTGGATTTAGTTCGCTGACAGCACTCGTCATATTTCCCACCTAATTGCATTCGCATTCTTGAAAGTACTCTATCTTCCCCCATCTATTTCGTGTAAGCCTAATGAACCTTATGTTGACCTTTATTTGTTCATCCATTTCGCCAGTCAGGCTGCTCATGGACAAAAAGGAAGTTGGAGATTTGTGAGAGTACCTTGTATGACCATGAGGAAAAACTGCCCCCAAAACGTCATCAGTAAATAATTCATAGCACCGTGAAACTTTTTCAGATAAATTTACTTTCTAATGTAAGACAGTAATTGGGTGTTAAATAAAGGGGTCAAATCTACACAAACAAACATTACAAAAATCAGCCAGAAATATTAGCCGATTGCCCGAACGACTTCGGCATCAACATCACAGCCACTATTAACATCATGAAGACGAAGAGTTATAAAACAACCTGCACTGCATGGCAGGCGACACATGATAAAAAAATGAACATCCAAATATCAGCGAGTTTTACAGAACGAAATAGGACAAAATGGTCGGAATGCGAAAAATGAAAAGATAAGTAAGACAAAATACCTACAAAGTCACAAATTAACGCCACAGTTAAACTGCCTTAACAACTGCAAGCTCGTTTCCAGTTGGTTTCGACCAGAAATAATGCTCTCGATTTTTGTGTTTATCTATTCTGCTAGACCAGAGCTTTAACCACACCACCTACTATCTCTAACACCACCCTCGTGACCAGATTGTTCTTAGCACCGCCATAACTGGTGAAGGCTGAATATGACTTTCACAGCTGCTGAAAGGTGGATGTAATGAGGGTGGTATCAAGAGTGCACAGAGGAAGGCAGCCACACCACAACGCCACCTCTGATCTCTTGTCCCCTTGAAAATGTTTTGACCACCTTGTGTCTCAGTCTTCATGGATAAATGAATTGATCGCCGGTAGTGAAATGGTTAAGGTTCAACAGGCTTCACGAAATGACCTTCTCCGCCACAACCAGCGAGTACAAATTAACGAAAAATCGGTTCTCCAACACTTATCGCGACGCAGCTCACTTTATTGCGACGTCAGGAACACGGTTCGCCAATCTGATATCCTGTTCTGTGCAGAAATTTGCACGAAACGTCACCTGTTCAGCTGTCACATTTCATACAGGACGCCTCAGTACACAGGGAACGGAAGACAAATTTAATTCATTGAACGGAATCCTATCAAATCATGAGTGATTATATTCAAGATGGTGGCGATTCAATGAGTCCCCTTGTTCATGAGGAAATATTGCATCCACCCAATGCATAGCGACTTCCAGGCATGTCACTAACAGTCTTCAGCTTCTGCTTTTCACCAACTTTACTAATGAAGTCAGGCACTTAAGGAGGCATCAATCTTGAAAAACGGTGAAATGGGTAGATTCTAAATTATCCATTGTTTTTGTATCTTCCTTGTAGGAAATGGCTGGAGCATCTGAGTCTTTTCCTATTATCATAGTGAAAAACGGGGCTGACTGAATTTCGGCCCATTATACACTGATGAGTGGTTCAGGCACAGACTTTTCGAACATTTGCTCTTCTTCTGGAATACCTCTGAGAGGTAATCGCCGAAAGTAACTCAAACAGTGGTCGAACAAAAAACAAGTGGTTTTTAGATTATCATATAGGGTGGTCAGACGGATAAAACTCCTCATTCTACAAAGTTGTACAGATTCCATCTGTGAACAGTTTTAAGTGGAAATCGAATGTGCGTAAGAGTAATCGCGATGTACGTGGGCCCACTATCCTTTAGCATATTAATATGAATTCTGATAAGTCAATGTACTCTATACTGGCATGCAACAGAGCAGTAAGCAGATGATAAAAATTATACTGAAGATTGGGAGAGGTCCACAGCAGCATAGTGAAATCAATTTATTAGTATCAGGGAACCTGGAGAGTTGATATTAGTTTGTACGAAGTAGCATTGACGACTGAAATAATCAGTAACTTATCAAGGTCATTGGTGGAGTGAGACGCTTAAAGGTCATTTTCGTCCATGTTGGATTGCAGTTCCGTAGCTGTTCGTGTACGCGTTTGTTGTTCCGTTTATCCTGCCGTTATACACGACTAATCTTGTTGCGTATTATTCACAAGTGGGCAAAGTTTAACAATAGCGTCCCAAGGGATGCGAACGCACGAGTGACCTTCAGCCAGCCAATCATAGAAATGAGGAATTTTTGCACGAAAAATGACGTATATTCACAAGAAAATTCATGAAAACACATTAAACGGATTATCTTCCTCTGACATGACTTAAAAATACGTCCCAGTTACGATGAAGAGTATCAGTTGCTAAGTTGGACTAGTTTCTGTATATGTATTCACCAAAGTGACTGAAGAGTGGCTGTTTTGTGAATCGTTCATCTCTCTTCTCTTGCCGTGTCGTCCTCTCCAAAGCCCTTGGTTAGGTTACTATGGTTTCAGTAAGAGCATTGGCGACTACATGTAAAGAAAATGAGGATAATAAAACAAGTTGAAGTAAACGCCAAATCTATACCTAATCGCAACCCTAGCCTTAATCCTGACCCTAACCCTTAATTTCACACCAGCCCTAACCTTAATCCTAACTCAAATGACAATCCTTATCCTGCCGTAAATCTAACCCTAATCCCAATTATGACAGTAACCCTAACCCCAAAACTCGCTTTAACCCTAATCCTAACCCTAACGAGATGTTGACACATTGTCCAAAAAGTAATTAAAGGCGTTATCTGGGTGAAACTTGCTCCTTATTTGATGAATAGGGTTGATATTACAGCTATGATAATGACAGACACCGTTAGCCAACGACTAGCATGCGTTCAAGGTCATTTGAGCGTTCGCACTCCTTGGACGCTATTCTTGTACTTCGCCCACAAATGTTGCGTTTCACCTCATTTTTTGTTTCCGTTGCTGTTAAAATGAACTATTTCTTTGGTTTCGAAAGTTTTCACTACTAGGTCAGTGCATTCATTTCGGTATAATTGTTTCACACCTTGCATTCATGCGGCTTTCAGTGTTTTAGTTGTTTTTCAGCTATTAATGAATTAGTACTATGTAGGAGTTTTGCAAATTATGCACATGAAGATGTTTGGCTGGCAGAAGCAGTTGTCTCCAGTCCATTTGTTGCTTGCAGGTTTTGTTGCTGGCTCATTTGGTTACTTAACATGTAGAAATTTGGAAAACTAATGTCTTTCACGTTCACGTCCACAGCATAAAACAATTTACCAGTAAATCTGATGAGGAGAGCACGATCAAAGTTTATATTAGCAAGGTTTTCAAAGAACATAATCCTGGAGAATTTAAAACCTGGATTGAACATGAAAAAGCTTTGAAGCTTTTTAAGAATGTGAATATACCATCAGTATGTCTGCTATCATTTGAAAAAACATATTGTGAGAGAATGTAAGTCAAACAAGGTTGAGCCGCATGAAAAGTATGAATCTGTTGTGCTTGTGGGTATTTTGGGGAACTAAAAGAAGCTGGAACCCTTAAGGGTAAGTGTTACTTATGCTTATTATTGCTTAATGTACTAGACCCAAATACATGAACTAGGACTGCCCGTAATAGAGCCAGTGTTAACATCCATTCGATGGGTTGCAAAACGGTTTTCAAAGCGGATAAAATACGATGATCTGGTGAGTGTACGAACAATCCCAGTTAAAGGTAAGACATTAATTAGGAAGAATAACGTTTCGGGTTGCAATCTACGATCGGTGGTTTCCTCGAAATTTTGATTTTTCCGTTACTATAAACACGGGTGTCCATGGACCAGTAGTCTCCGTTTCTTTGGCGAAACATCCGTTGATACGATTATACGATTAGGAAGCGAAGTAAGATGTTATGTGACTGAGAATCGTGGTTGTTGTGTTTTGGACTAATTTCGCGCATCTGACTGTTATAACCGCATGGATATAGCGTTTACCTCATGGTACATTATGATACCTAGACATGAAGTCTTCATTGAATGATACTATGCCGAAAGGTGCAGCTTCTACATGGAGTAAACGATTTGTGTGAATGGCATTACACTTCAACTATCCTATCTTCCTTATTACACCGATATTTTGATACAGTCCACATGAAACACTAGTCATTGCAACCAATATGCTAAAAGTGTGTCGCAGTCAGATCACATGACGCGGACACCAACATAACTAGCCAAAAATGGGAATTTCCATCAATCCAGATAACATATAACACAGTTTTATTAAAAATTTTTGGCAAAAAAAATTTCCAAGCGGAACTTCAACAGTACGTGATAAATAAGTCCAGGCAGCATTGACGCATTGGCTGTTTGAAGCATAACACCAATAGCCAGGCGTTTTGAAATTAGTCCTTGTTGTAGTTTTCAATTTTGATGAATACCCTATTCATACGTATCGTGTGACATAGCGATGTAATCGAAGTCAAAATATCACAGTGTTAGTGACAATTTGCGCCTAAAACCTTGGAGTGTCAGTGTTCGCCTTCTTTGATTCGTTACTGTCAAAATCAAGTTCACTGTCATCGCAATAAGGAATTCGTTGTGTACAGTTACTGGGTAAGCAAAAAAGGGCAGTGTGTCCCTCAGCATGAATTTACCAGGATCATTGTTACTATTTTTCATATCTCTTCTTGCAACTGAGAGACGACGGTCAATACATGCATGGCCCAAACCAACACCAAAATTGTGTTGTCGTGTTTGCAGCAACATGTTACACATTCAAATTTGTGTAACTGAGCAATCCTACTCAGTAATTATGCAGTGTCCGGAAAAGCGGCCTCTGAATCATAAGTGAAAACTTGTCTATAAATTGTTTACAAGTAGATAATGTTGAGACAAGTACGGGAATCTATTTCAGATTCAGATTTACTGGTTGAGGATAGAAGGCTTGGAGCCTATGTTAATCCTTTTCTAGTAAATTTCTGTGGTTGTCCAAACCCTTCTTGAACGAATCAGTTGAGGTTGTGGACACCACTTCTTCTGGGAGTCGGTTCCAAGAGTTTATCACTTGATGTGAGAACCAGTACTCAACAGCAATATGATTTCTCCTTGGCTTTTGAACTTTCCTGCTATGTCCTCTAAGGTGTTCCGACCTGGTGGGAAGGAAAAGAGAGAATAGGTCAGGTCCGTAGTCATTATTTAAAATTTCAAACATTGTGATTAAATCTCCTCTCTGCCTACGGTATGACAGTGAGAAGAGATTTAAACTGTCTAGTCTTTCCTCGTATGATAAGTTAGCTATGCCATGAACCATACGTGTTGCCTTTCTTTGAACACTTTCTAGAATGTGTGAGTCCATTTTAAGACAAAGACTGACGGCCTGGATGCAGTTTTTCAGTCTTGGCCTAACCAGAGATGTATATAAGGAGGTGAACATATCTCTGGTAATTCTTGTAAAGGCTCTGCGAATTGCCCATAAGGACCTGAAACTACGTGCAGCCACCGCGCGACAGTGTGCGACAGTCGTGGCTAACTATGACACCTAAGTCCAAGTGAGTCTGAACTGATGGACGTGTTATTCCCTCTAATTCGTAGGAGCTTGTGCTTGATTGTCCAATCCGCATGGTTGCACATTTTGCCACATTGATCGAGAGCATCCATTCAACGGACCACTCTGACAATTTGTTGAGGTCCTCTTGCAACGTGAACGTATCACTGTTGCCATTGAGCTCTCCAAATTTGAGTCATTTGCGTATAGGACCATAGGGGAGTCGGTGAGCAGAGGTAACTCATTGATGTATAGAATAAATAGGAGAGGATCGAGGACCGTGTTTTGTGGCACTCCGGTGCTTACTGCTGTCCAAGAGGAGAGTTTTGAGTTGATCCTAACCCTCTACCTTCTTCGATTTCAGTTTCCTGAGTTTACGCAACTGTCTCCTTTCAGTGTTATTGTGGCCAGACTTGTGTTAATAAGAACAATACAAACCTGCCTACAGTGGTGAAAGATCTCACATAGCGCATCTGTGATACGACTAACTATTGCTATCAGCAGTTCTAAATGTTACTAGAACTTGACCTTTCACACATACTGTGACTCATGTCCTGTTAATAGTAGTGATAAGTCAAGCGTACTATTTTATATAGGTTAATCAGTCGATAAAAACGCAGATTGTCATTTTTAAAAAGCAGCATATATTTAAGCACGAACAAAATCCAAAGCAGTACTCCAGAATGAGCGGAAGTTTGGCATTTACGAACACTGTCAATAGCTGATCGCCACTCAGACTAATTTAGATGCCTGCTTTAATAGGCCACTCGCTGATTATCTAGGTCGTATCTGCAGATGTGCTTCGAAAAATGTACATTCATTCTTCTTGGATCCTGAACCTTGAATGCACCAGATATTTGGAATCGGCGTTTTTCAAATCTCATAACTGAATCCTGAGCCTATCACTTAGAGAATAAAAAACACTTGGATTTACACTTACACCTCGGTAAGAATACTTCGCCTCATAAAACAGTGAACAGGACCTATCATTTATGAGAATTTCAACAGGAGACTGAAGTCTACTTGCCGTAGTCCATATTGGCATTTCGTATGGAACGTTACAGAACTCTATTAACCGTTTTTCTATTTAAATCTTTGGTATACGTAACATGTTCCACTACCTTTGATGAAGTATTTTTGTTGCGTAGTATTTTGCACCACTCCGCACGATCGACTGATAACTGTTAAAAACAATATATGACAATACTACAGGTTTCTAACTAAGTACGTTTCCTTTCCATTGATCAAAGTTGTTTTAACATGATAAACTGAAGCGGTTTACAAGTCTTACCGAAGTCGAGTCAGATCTTGCGCAAGTACTTAAGTTTGTTTTACTTTGCCTTCTCAAATTTGATTACTTCCTGATTAAGATTCGTTGTATATATTTTGGTTTGAACTCATTATTCCTTAACTGACTGAATATCGGGTTCGCTTTAATGAATTTCCTCAACCTACTTTGCATCTTCACTGTAATTACGAATCGTTTGTATGATCATAACATATTGTAATGAAATCGCTTTCCACTTTTATACACACAATTATTGTTGAAACTCAATTATCCGGAAAAAATTCATAGATTAGTCTATGGTTCCTACTTTTTTTTGTCAGGGCTGACTATAATACTGAGTTTTGCAGGTTGATGTAGATAAAGCAGGTCTCAAGCACATAACTTGTCGATTGAAAGTGAAGTTTTAAAGTTAATAAGTTACATCTCAGTATACATATATTTTTTTCCGAAAGGAAAATTTAATACTAGTATGACTGTAGAGCTTTCAAAAATGAACTTATTAAAATCATAATTTTGTTATAGTTTTTGTTAAGTAACTTGTACATTTAATGTGTAATTTATTCAGTCTTCAAGGTAGAGTATTTGATGTCCATTTGAAGTATCTCTGATGGCCTTTATGTTTCTATTTTTGAATTTCTCGCCTTCATTTTTGTTTTTTTAGGGTGAATATTTTAGAAAATGGGGACGAATAGGATTGTGATGCTTCTTGACATGGATTGTTTCTACGTTCAAGTTGAGCAGCGTGAAAACCCAGAAACTATAGGGAAACCATGCGTTGTTGTTCAGTATAATGAATGGAAAGGTGGAGGGTTAGTCATTTTATTTTTTTTCCTCTTAACATTTAAATCCTATTTCTAGAGCCCTTGCAGTTAGTTATGAAGCAAGAGCTTTAGGTATCAAGCGTGGAATGTTCGGGGATGTAATTCGTGCACAATATCCAGATACTATTATGTTCAAGGTTCCAGAAAAGAGAGGTAAAGCAGAACTAACGAAGTTAGTGGTTGCATTGCTATTTAGCGTAAACACTTTTTTCTTCTTACAGATACCGTGTCGCTGGATCGGAAGTTATTCAGTGCATATCTGAATTCACAAAAGATATCGAAAGAGCTAGTATTGACGAAGCGTATGTCGACCTTACTGGTAAAATAATAATGTAATATTTATCAAACTTTAATAGATATTGTAGATTCAACCTTAACTCGAGATGAGGATGTATCATTACTGAAACCAAATTCAGAATCATTTGTGGTGGCGAACAGTGATATTGCCGAACAGTCAAATTTAGAGCTTACTGGAACTAATTGTCTCCCACTGAATGGTGTCGATTGGATAGAGTTATTAGACTCTAACTTTGCTGAAGGAAGGCGATTAGCTGTTGCATCTGGACTAGTATACAATATTCGTCAAGCTATTTTCAAAAAGACAGGTTTCAAATGTTCCGCTGGAATAGGTCCTAATAAAGTGAGTCCCATCCTTCTGTCTTTAGTTTCTTTTTTTGGGAAGTACCATCAGCCCCAACGCGCTGATCTCTGACGAAATCTCAGCACGAATACAAGGGGCTCGTTTCGCATTTACCAGTTTACGCCGACTCTGGCTTAGACGAGATGTTCGACTATCGACCAAAGGGCGGGTGTACTGCTCATCAGTCCGCTCCGTCCTCCTTTATGTTTGTGAGACCTGGCCACTGAGAGTGGAAGACATGAAAAGACTATCTGTCTTTGATCATAGGTGCCTGCGTTCTATTTCCCGTGTAAAGTGGCATAATAAGGTGAGCAACATTGAGGTTAGGCGTAGAGTTCTAGGTAAACAGGGGAAATCAATCGACGAAGTTGTGAAGCTACAAAGACTGAGATGGTTAGGACATGTGTTACGTATGCCAAGCCATCGCCTCCCTCGACGAGCAATGTTAGCGGATATAGGGTCAGGCTGGAAAAAAGCTAGCGGCGGTCAAACAAAAACTTGGCATCAGTCAATGAAATCCACAACAGTTGGTCTAAGCCACGTAGAAAGGTGTAGACTTCCAGGCTGGGGTCCTCGGGACGGTAAAAATCTATGGTTGGAAACAATTGGTGACGTGGCTCAAAATCGTTCTCAGTGGCGCAGATGCATCCACTCCCTGTGACTTATGATCTTCAATGAAACTGTTTTGTATTTCTTTATTACTCCTTTGTCTCACCTCTGCTCACTGTTTCTATTATGCTTTTCTTGTACTTTCTTCTCTTGCTTCGCGTGCTACACGGAATGTGGCGACTTGAACTTCCGCACATTTGTGCAAAGTTCTATGTCGAAAACAGACAGACAGACAGACAGTTTCTTTCATGAATAAGAAGCAAATTGACAGAAGTTAGAATTCACGGGTCATTGAATTCCAATCTAGGCGGCCAAAGGGTCAACAAGCTTAGTCTCGTAACCTGAAGGTTTTAGGGCCGATCCCTGATAAAATCGAGCGCGGGTACTGCCAAGGAGTCTCTAGCTAGAACAAAACAACTGTCCATTACTCCCTGGTGGTGGTTTTCAATGATTCTCTAACTGATATCAATCCGTGACCAAACTTGAAGTTGGGGGTTTGTCAAAGTTAAATCTCTGTAAGCATTTAGGCGTTTACTTGTACTGTGTAACATGTTTTTTTCACTATGGGAGATTTATTTTATCCGACAAAAATTGTTATTCGATAAGAAGCAAGGTGAATGAGTGTCCATTTGACAGGTGTAAAGGTGAAAAAAACTTAGTGAAATATACAAAAGAAACATTTGAGAGTGCTAATAATTAGTTCATGACTAAAATTAGAAGCGAACAAGTGGGAAAGAGCGTAATACTACAACAGAAATAAGAAATTGGACAAGCCTTTCCCACACACAGAGTTCAGATATATATTATGAAAAATCACTAGCACCTCCAGCATATACAAGTGTCGAGCATATCACCTCCTGTACCACTGGATCTTATCTTGTAGATAATTTTCAGAGACGAATCTGGTGAAGCCTCATGCCCTTAGTTCACCAAGTGCTCAATAATCGAGCTAGTAATTTTCTTGCTGTGTACTCTTGATAACCATCTCGGATAATGTTCAGAGATGCGTTTGGAAAGTGTACACTTCATGCGGTCAATATTATCCAAAAACGTTTTTTTCAGACTCTTATCCTATCATGATCTTAAGCTCATTCCTACTCGTTCGCTTCTATTTTTAGTAATGAATTCACTGTTATCACTCTTACATGTTCCTCTTGTACATTTCACTAGGGAATCTACTGATTGACTCATATTTTCTATGTGGCTAGTAACTGCTGTTACTAGATTACACGTTTTTGTCGAGTTTTCTTGTTCAGTTAGAAGAGAAAAGTGCTCTTATATGATTGCTAAGTAAGTGGAATTCGTATGATTCTCAGCAAAACTGTAAAAATGCATTTATTGATTCCACTTTAACATTCACATATACGAACATGAATGTATTTGGATGGAACTTTAGGCACTGTTTCCTTCATATCTTGTCTGTAGAAAATTTTATATGTTAATTTCACTGATAGCTAAATTTTTACACCAATCGAGTTGGCACATCAAATAACACATCAAAATGCAGAGTGAAAAGAGACAAAATGAACGGAATATATAGGAGAAAGAAGTAGAATAATAAGAATTTAATAGATCTAGGAGATCAAGGTGACTGAATTCATCTACATCACTAAGAACGATTCTGAGCCATATTACCAACAGTCTCCACTCATTGGTACTTAGCATCCCCTAGGGTCCCAGCCTTTCAGTCTACGCTTCCCTATGTGGTGGCGCAAACCAATAATCGAAGACCTTACAGATTGGTGTCGTGTTTTGATTTGCCCACCCTTAACTCTTGGCTTACGTGACATTTGTTCTCACAATGTCAGTAGATGTGACTTCACAACTTAATCGATTGACTTCCCGCCCTTACTTAACACTCTACGCCTAACTTCAACATTACTCACCATATTATAGCACTTGACACGGGAAATAGAACAAAGCGTCCATAGTCCAATACAGCTAGCCTCTTCATATCTTCCACTTTAAAGGAACACGTCTCACTGTTGCAGACAAGGACGGATTGGAATGTTGCTCAGCACATACGTGGTTTAATCAATAGTCGGATGTCACGTCTCTGCTGGAGATGACATTAGTCGATAGGTGTCACACGAGATTTTTGTGTCCATTTTTTCCTCCTTCACGTTCCCCAGTGGAACATAGGGATTCAAGCTAGTGGCTTGAAGTTTCTTGTAGCAGTGTTTTATTTTAAAGGATGAAGTTGCCAGCCTCATGCCCAACCTTTCCTCTTTACCAGCATTATTTTTGGCTTAGCGAGGTAAAGGAGTGCGTCGTACTATTTATTATCATTTAGACGCAGAAAAAACTTGGTACAATATGGTACCAAGAAAGATGCGCCACACAAAATTTCATTTTTGTGTGACGGCTGAGATACCGCCCGGGCTCCCAGACCGAAGCAGTTGGTTTTAATAAGGGACCAACCACTTCCCCGAGCCTTCAACTTGGAGTCTAATCCGCAAGGCAGCGGAGCAGCGTCAGGAGCTTCATTCCCATGGTTGACAGTGACCTATATGGGTTCATACGCCATTTGATCCCATTGGATTCTGGAGCCCATGTACCCCATGGTAACTGCTTTTAGTCTAACCGCTATCCAAACAACCTTCCTGACATGGTAGGACCTGCAGGGACATGAGTCTCAGCCACTTTAGCTTGTTGGGTCACTGCGGTATTCAAGCCTGACCACCACGGTAAGGTAGCAGTTGTCGGCCGGGGATCGAACCCCGGACCATGTGCATGGTCGGCGAGCGTCCTAACCGCTATTCCACCGACACCTTTTGTGTCCAGAATAGCTTAGTACGTTAGTGTGTCGTCCCACACTTTATTCCCGCATGGACATAGAACAACTAATGTATGTACACCTGGTATATATATATATCCAACTTTTTTATCAATATCTAGAAATAATTTTGTCATTTATTTTGTAATTGTGTAAAGTCTATCGCGAAATTAGCCTGTAGTTTGAACAAACCGAATAAGCAAACATTAATTCCGCATGAATCGATTCCTGTCCTTCTTGAAAATACACCAATCAGTAAAATGTGAGTTCTACTGTTATCACTTTTTTTCTGTTGTTTCTCTAATAACAGTTTCTTTGTTTTGAAACACCACACAGTCATATATTTCAGGTCATAACTATTGTGTTGCAGTAATCACTTGATAAATTGAAAATCCAATTTTTGTTCATAATTTTGAATGACCAATTTAATTTATCACAACATCATCATTTTGTCGCACTTCGTTAATTCCACGTTAGAATATCTGCTTACCACACACATGGTCTGGGGTTCGACCTGTAACTGATGCACTCCCAAACACCACTTAGTAAGCTTGAAAAAGGGTTAAGGTTAGGCATGAGACTAGCAACCCCCACTGCCACCCCGTAAAAACAACAGCGATATTGAAAACTTGAAGTCCATGCTTGAAGCCCTACGTTCCACTCGGAACGCAAAGGAATGTGTATGTGTAGACATCGTCACTCTGTCACTATCTTGTGTGGTAGTAACCCAATAGCCCAGTAAAACAGTGGCTTTCCTATTTTCTCATTTCTTGCCTTACGTGTGGAATGTAGAATTTCAAGCTTTGATGTTTCACTGGTGCTAGTGTTGTTTTTACTGTCTGGGGTTGGATTGATAACCTCATGTGCAATCCTCTTCTCCAAGCTTAATGTCAACTAGGCAAGGTTTAAGGAGTGAGTTGGTCGGAACTTAAACCCGGACAATCTGTGTGTCTGCATTCTGCCATTGGGTCACAGATACAAAGTATTAGTTTAGTGTTTTTTTTATCAACTTTATATATTTAATAGCCATTGAAAGTTTTGTTTAAATCGTGTATCAATCAAGTGTTTTACCCTGTTATTATATCTACTTTTCTATTCTAATCTTCAAACATATATCGTGGCTAAATTAAATGAATGCTATGTATTTAAAAGTGAGGATAAATGGTGAAATCCTAACAAACCTATTCTCTCCTATGTGGCATGATTAGTTAAAAATATTGAAGTGTTTTGCAGATAGTGAACTATTCATTTATTGTTAGATGAATGAAGGCAATCATTAGGAAGCCTTGGATCTAGGTTTCGTGCTTGTTGGCACTGGTGAACAACAGTTCAGAGTGTACCGTGTTGGTGGACCACCTAGAGTGGTGGCCACATTGCAAACTTGACTGATAGAATTCAGTCTGTATCAAAGCAAGAACTAAACTCATGACATTAGTTACTTCCTAGTGTCCCAATGAGACTGTATGCATATGTAGATTTGAACAAAGCAAGAACAACCAAGTGTACCAGGATAATATGAACTCATCTTTTATTATTTCCAGGATTCTTCTCAACTGGTTAAAACCTGAACGTTAAAAAAATATGAATTACATTAAAGATATGAACATACTTTTCCATGATCATGAGGAGTAATTGGTAGGAATTAAAAGTAACATTAGTCCGGAATGATTTAACTGATTAGGAGTTACAAACACTGACTATTTATAGAATAATTAGACAATTAGGCTTGGAACCAAAAAACAGGGTTGCGTATATATGTGTATAGGAACAAGGTTTAGCTAGAAAGAGCATAACAAAAAAGTAGATTACGTAACTAAAGAAGACGTCTTATCTAACAGCCAATAGAAAAAAGGAAAGAAAAGAAACAAGGTAGGATGAGTCATGTTTAGATGAGAGAGTAGAGTTTTTTAAACATGAAAAAGGTGACTCATGAAAGTTGCATATTTTTTGTTATCCCCAGGGTAGTGCAAGATTCACCACTGTCTCTTTCTGCGTACTTAGATTTGGTTTAAGTCGTTTGATAGCAATTGCTTCAGCAAAGCGTAGCAAGCTAGGTTTCTTTCACTTGTTGGTTATTTTGAACGACTTCAGGTTGTCTACAATATGACCAGTATCCAATAGATGACGAGCAATTGCACTATTTAATGCTTGCGGACCTTTCATATGTGTTCATAAATGCGGACACTAACCCTTCTCTCTGTTCTTCCAATGTTTGTGCTTTGACACGTACATGTAAATTGGTAGACACAGTTAGAGGTAACATGAGGTGGGTATTTGTCCACTTTTGATTGTCTCAAACAACTAGTTGTTTGATAAACATATACAAGCTTGGCGGCTGGATATGTTTTTAGGGCAGCGTTCAGTCTGCATCTTATTCTACTAGCAGTATCATCACCTTTGAATGCAAGCTGCACAAAGATAAGCTTCTTAACTACTGTGCTGCTTTTCACTTTTTCAACATGACGTCTCCCATACTTGTCGATGAACTTTTGTGGGTAACCGTTGTCGTGTAGGCATTTCTCCACAATGGATAGCTCTTCCTCAATCTTATCTTCTGAACACAGTTTCCTCACACGATCAAATAATGTTCTCACCAATCCCTTTTTGTAACTTATAGGACAGAAGCTTTCGAAGCTAATATAAATGGCCCTCCAGGTCTCTTTTCTGTGTATATATCTTATGATTTTGCCGTCTTTATCTGTATGTAGATATGTAGGTATTTATATAACAAAGCTAATCATACCAGTTTTTTGCTTGGCAAAAATCAAAGTAGAGTGAAGTAATTCTAGGCTGGCTACGTTCTGATTAACAGTTTGAAGTTTTGATTATCTAATTATGAAGCCGAAACTGCCGTTATATCTAGCCGTATGAATCGTTTAAGGCACTAATAAGTTTACTCATTTTTTTCAGATTCTGAGGGGATATCTGATCGGCAAAACGGCAAATAATTCTCAAAGATACGTGATTTTCTAGAATTAATTGTTTCCTAGCTGCAGTCACGTATCGTGTGTTCATAGCCCTTAGAATTAAAAAAATACGATCGTTAGCTAAATGTATCTCCTTTTCAGTCTTTATAGTGATTTATCTCTTTCATTGACTGGAACCAGTTAACTGTGTACTAGCATCTTCCTCTTAAATGTTAGCTAAAATGACAGTCTACTGATCTCATAACTATGATGAATCGTATTAATGTACCCCTGGACATAATTCTTTCGTACTTATCTCAATATTTAGAAGCACTAAAGGCCGAACGACACTACTCCATTAGGACTGCTGGTAGACTGTATCGACCATTGAAATCCCTGATTTTCAATGACTTTCTAACTGATATCAATCAGTGATGAAACTTAAAACAAATCACATCCTTCCAAACAAACTCTGGTTTATTTTTTGCTGCTCTCCATTGGTCACATTTTTCTTCTACTTATATGGTTAATCATTTAATGTAATTTATATATGCAGCGGCATTTCCAACAGACCAACAATAGTTACATCAACAACTGTCTTTACTGCCTAGTGAAGATCCGAAGGTCAGAAAGAATTAAGAGGAAGGAACTATGACAGCATATTACTAAAACAGTCCAACAAATGTTCCGAATAAAATAGAGTAGGAATGGACACACAATTAGGAGACTGTTTAGCAATATCACGTACCAAACTCCCGAGTGGAGCCTGGAAGGTAAACAACGACTTGGGCGTCCGACTCTGACATAAAAGAGACTGTATGAGGAAGGAATGAAAGCTTTTGGGAAATGTTGAAGCCAGCTATAACAAGACTGCAGAGAACAGAGAGTAAAATGGAGATGTGCTGCTAAAGCTATAAGGTCCACTTGGAACCCAAGGGGGGGGGGTAACAATAATAGGCAGCAGCAATGTACGGATCACTGTAGTTTATTTATGATGTGATTGATGTGTCTAATGTGTTTAACATTTAAATGAATTTTAGTAACAGTTACTAAATTGTTTGTTACAATGTTAATGTTTTTTAAAATTATATTTTTGAAAGACGAAATTTAGGTGGTAAATTAGGAAGTGCTGTGATTAAACAATTCAACATTGAAACACTCGGTCAATTGAGTACAGTTCCGATGTCATTGCTTACAAAAGAATTCGGGGAAAAGACAGCGTAAGTTTTTTAATCCAATTGATTTTCTTTAGAATCTATGTATATCATTTATAATTGTACATCTTTCCTCTGAGTTGTAGGTAATTTTTTATATAATCAATATCTGAAAAAGTGATATTTTTGAAAATAAAATCCATGCAAACCAACATGTGATGTTACCTGAAAGCCTAGTGAGAAGTTTTAAGCAGCAGGGTACACCAAGTCAGATCAGAGAACAATCACTCACCCACGACACTGACTGGTTGGTGGTAACGCTACATATCGCGAATCGGCAGATGTTGGAATTCATTTCCCATTGGATCGGATCCCAGTAGCTGAGTGGCCTACGAGCTCTCCTAATGTGAAGGTCCTGGGTTCAAACCCCAGTGGGTGTGTGGTGCTGAAGAGTGTAAAATCGGGACAAAACAGCTGTTCAGTGCCCTCTTGTTTTCCATGGTTCTGTAACTGTTGCCAGCTAGTGATCAAATCTGTAGTAAAAGACTTCATGGATTGATAGTTTTGATAACCTAATTGACTCCGATCTTCTTGTTAGACTTATGTGATCCATGATCTAAACACGTGGATACGTAGGAGGAAAATTCTTGTATTTAAAGCTGACAGAAGAAGAGGATTTGTTCATTTACTCTAATAAGTAATTATAACAATCAAAATATGTCAACAATCTTGAAGAAGAAATTAAAACTCATATATGATTCTGTTCTATGCTGAGATATTTCACGTGAAATAATTAGTTGAAGAACCAATGGAGTACTGGACACCTGTTTTATTTTAGTTTGGGACTCTTCTGGAGCTCGAACGTAGGACTTCCCGGTTATAACGTGACCTCGTAGACTTTTAGCCACTGGGATCCGATGTAATAGTTCGCAGTTATCCGTTTCTACCCAGGCGCGATATTAGCTTGCGATCAAATATGTAAATTATCAAATACCTGCAAACCAACTCTTAAAAGTTTTTGATGCTTGGTTTGAGCTGCTAAGGGAAGTTTATATAACCTCGTTGGGGTCCTCTAGACGCTGAGAACCATTATCTTGAGATTATTAATGACCTGGTCCAAAATCATTCTCATTGGCACTGTTGTGACCTCTCAGATCTATTAAGTCCTCTTCCCCCCCCCCCCCCCAATGTAATTATTCTTTTTGCTGTACATTCCTGCTCCTCATGGTTTTCCCAGATTACTGATTTTTCTTTTCCTCTACCTTGGTTTGTCAATGTTATGAAGTGTGGCAGCTTAAACTGTTGCACTTTTTACGCCAAGTTCTATGTTGGAACACCATCATTTAGGTTATCGGAGCCTAGAAATGTAGCTACATCTAGAATGATTGACTGCGCTAAGTAAGGTGATTTCAAAGAAGCTTGGTCATTGCAATAAACTCACTTGCATATAAAATCAGACAATAGGGTGGGATAGGACAAAAGTATTCGTAAATTAATATATATAGGTGGAGAGCCTATATAAAGCAAGTTGTCAAACTGCGTGCATTTACTGATAGGAAATTATGAGCAACAAATCGTGCTTGAAATACTATCATCCACTGATGTCAGCTCGGGGTGAAATCCTGAAAACCTATCAAATCCCTGCAAACCAACACTTAAACAACTGTATCACTGTGTTTGTCTGTCATATCAAATTCTTCAATTTTTACTAGTATAAAAGACAGTGACAAATTTATCATCTGTCTTGAGTTTTTCTAATTGTTATTGACTTCAAGTTTCTTTACAGATTGATATTATTTAAAGAACCATTAAAAACCAAAGAGTATTGGACAGCCGTTTCGTCCCAGTTCGGCACTCTTCAGTAGCCACGCATGCACGACCCCACTAGGAATCAAACCCAGGGGATCTCGTTGACCATTCAACCACTGCGATGGAGTCTAGTGTCTGATCTATGTATCTAACTTCTATCAGTTGGCGATTTTTGGTGCCACTGCCAGTTGACAAGTTTTTGTCCTCACACCTACTACCTGGCTCAGTAGACACAACTGTTCACAACTTCTCACTAGAAGTTTAGACAGAGTAAACTTGATATTGGCTCGTTTTTCTCTTTACTGTTTTATTTATTTATTTGTTTATTTATCTTGTTTACTTCCCTAGAATATGGCTTCATGATTTATCTCGTGGTATTGATCATGAATCAGTTGTCTCTCGATCACTTGCACAGTCTGTTGGATGTAGTAAAAATTTTATGGGACGTGCAATGCTAACAACAAGTGAACAAATAAAACGTTGGTTATTATGCCTTACAGAAGAATTATACGAAAGACTAGATGATGATTATAATCAAAATCAACGTTATCCTACACGATTAATTGTTTACGCGCGTACTGCAAATAATTTAAACTATTCTGGTGGTATCTCGCGTACACTACCATCGAATCTACTACAATTTATTGGTTATAATAGTAATAATAATGAGAATTGTAATATCGATAAATCTACATTGGATGACAATGATAATAATAGTAACTTGGATTCTAATGTATTGAATTCAATGAAATATTCAAGTCATATTGAAAAACTTGCAAATGTTGCTGTATCAACATTGAAAGATGTATTTTATAAAGGAGAAGCACCAGAGATTTGGTAAGTCTGTTTTTTTATGGTGTTTTAATGCTGTCTATGGAATCATGGATTGATATCAGTTAGAAAGGACCAGTGAAGACCACCAGAGAGTTCTGGATAGCTGTTTTGTTTGTTCCACTGTCAGATTCTGATTGGCTGGCAATCGGTCCAAGGTTAAACAAACTGTTCAGTGAGGTCATTTCATTTACATGACGTAAATTCTCTCCAGATTTTAGGAATGAACACTTTCACCTCTGCAGCCAGCCCTTGACTTGAAATATTGATTTCAGTTTTGGCCTCTTCCTATCAGTATACCTCGCGCTAGAAACTGGCTGTCTTTGATCACAGATGTTCACGCTCTATCTCCCGTTTTAACTGGTGGTATCATAGGGCAATATTATTATTGAGGTTAGGCGTCGACTGAAAGGAAATTTAATGCTCACTATTGACTAATTACAGGGCGAAGTCGCTAGGAATTCTTTCTAGTGCGAAGTCATGACCTATTGGGACACACCAATTCGGGTGTGAGGTACTCGCCAGGGATACTGGATTACAGTGGCGCTAACTACTGCGAAAGTTAAAGCTCACCGGTGATTACACTTTGTCCTAGTGAATGAATGGTCGAAGGACTTAGCCTGTGACCAAAAAAGTTCTGGATTCGATCGCTGTTGGAATCATATGACGCGTACTGCTAAGGAGTCCCAGTATAGGACAAACATATATTTTTTACTTCCTGGTATTCACTGGTTCCTCTAAGTGATTTCAGTATTTCGTAATATAACTAGGTACTGACGACGTCTTGTCAGTTTTTTTAAGTATACAATGGTTTTATTCAATAGTCTACCGATGCTATAAAATGTTTTCGTTTATTCTTGTTGGTTCATCTTATCTTCCATTTAGATAACCATAAAAATAGAGTCATAATTTAATCTTTTATCTTTATAATTACCTGTTCTAGGGATCCTGGTATAACGTGTTTAGGACTTACAGCTGGAAAGTTTACTACTAATCCATGCGTATCAAATCTTGACATACGTTGCTTGTTACAAAAGAAGCAACAACAACAACAAGAAGTATCAGATGCTAATTGTGTTGCACAACAAGAATCTGTACCTGTTCCTCTGCCTTCTACTGACAATAATGTGTCGTCTTCCTCGATGTCTACTAACCCCACATACTCCTCCTCCTGCTCGTCAACATCTTCTGATAAAAAAGCTGATCTGGCCAGTGTTCCATCTGAGAATAAACGTGCATCTCCCAATGATACTGACAATAATAATAATAATAATAATAGAAATAATTCTGTGTCATTTTTCAAACGTTTACGAGTGGCTGAGATTTCAGCTCCATTTCACCCAATCATATCTAGCGTTGACACCACCGTCACCAACACCACCACGACCACTAATGCTACAACTAACAGTTTACAATCTGATCATGCTTTAGAGAATGATATTTACAAATCCTTAGACAAATCTCCACCGTGTCTAGACGTTGATTCCGAATCACGTCATTCATCCACATCAGATTCAAACAGCTTTTTCACTTCATATTCAGTTGCTGATTGGATTATCTGCGATAAGTGTAATTCACGTGTATCTGTATGGCAAATCCCTGAACATGAAGATTTTCATATTGCTCAACGTATACAACAAGAATGGAAAAATGAAGCAGTGAGTAGTTCAGCGAAGGCGTCAATAATAACAAATAACAACAGCACTAGTTCACTTTTGAATAAAACCACCTCATCCAAAGTGAAATCTCAGTCAAAACCGATGGTGAAAAAACAAGTTAAACAACAGAAGTCATCAACACTTCAGACAATAGATAAATATTTTTATAAAGCATCTTAAAAAAATTGGGAAATCTGCTCGGCATTTATTATTTAAGAGTACGATTATAATCATGATTTTATACTATTGTGACTATCTTGCTATTATTATTATGATTATTATTAAAGAGGGATGTTAGAAAGCGCATGCGGCTTGAATTCAATCCAATTTTATGGCGGTAAATATTATTTATTAGTCAGGCTTCAGAGTTAAATGCATCAAATTGCATATTCATCGCTTCAGGCTGGTATATATATATATGTATATCTATGGTCTCCCGTTGTATGAGAAATGCTTCGTTTTTACCTGTATCCTAATGGTGATGCTCATTCGAAATGAAGGTATTTGGGTGGGGGATGTAGTATGTTATCGCCCTCAAAATGTTTGTGAATATTACATTTAATGGTATTTCTTGTCATGTTATGAATATGTGTTTTATTTAATGTTTTCGCAGAAATAATGTGATTTTTATACTTTATTTATTTATTTATCTATTTATTTATTTGGAAGTCTCTGGAAATGGAAAATACATTGCTCCTTCTTATTTTTATTTATTTACTTATTTTTTTACTATTGTTATGTAATGTACTTACTATAAATGTTTTTATTTTGTTGTTTGTTTTGCATTTTGCATTCACTGTGAGAAGAATATTTTCATTTGAAGAGAGAAAAATGTTTCTACAGAATATTTATACTTGTGGTCTGCTTTTTAATTATTTATACTTTTCAATATAGCGAAAATATTCATTCAAACATCGATAAAACACAAAATAATTGAGCAAAGAATATCCCTTTTCGATATTTTCTTCTTCTGGCTCTACAGTTATATGTATGTTCATTTACATGTTGACGTTAGGTGTAGAGTGTTGGGCAGAGAGGGGAAATCAATCGAGGAGGCTATAAAGTTACATAGATTGAGATGGCTAGGTCACGTGCTGCGCATGCCTAACCATCGCCTCCCCCGACGGGCATTACTAGCTGATATATATAGGTGCAGGTTGGAAAAGAGTAAGTGGTTTCCAAACAAAAACATGGCATCAATCCATGAAATCCTTGACAGTTAAACTGAGTCAGGTCAGGTAGGGAGATGGAGACTTCCGGGTTGGGGCTGTCGGGACTCTCGGAATCAATGACTGGAGACAATAGGTGAGATGGCTGAAAATCGTTGTCAATGGCGAAGATGTATTCAGTCTCTGTAATCTTTCATATTCCTTTCTACCATTACCCATTCTGTTTCGCTCTTATACTTGTCGAACTCTATTGATTCTCTTCACTCATCTTCTTGTCTACCTTTGTGTGGTATTTGGAAGGTGTCAACTCGAACAGCTGCACTTCGGTGCCAAGCTCTATGTTGAATCCAGACAGACATAGAGTATTCTAGAATGACACTCAATAACAATATTAGTGTTTTTAAATAATATCAATTTGTTAAATAAGGTCAATGGAATTACAGTTCATTAAAGATGCTTAAATAATAATAATAAAGATATAGTAGTAAATAGAATACCAACTAAAATTAGGAAAATTTCACAAAAACTCAGAATCGTTCAAACCTAGATGGCCAAGGTAATGTTAATATCTGAAGTAACTTCTTTCGGACGTACAAATTAGGCTTCCTAATGTGGATCCCAACAGCCAGCCCCATCAATATTTAGTAATCGAACTCTTACGGCGGAACTGAGATCTGTTGGTATACGGTAAATGACCCTGAAAGCCGCCTGGTTAACATCAGTCTTGTGTTCTGTATCCACAAGATTAAATAGAATAGCGCTTCGAATGATCCTGAATTTTTGTGGAATTTTCCTAATTTTAGTTGATATTCTATTTGCTATTATATCTTTGTTATTATTATTATTATAATTTAAGCATTTTTAATGAACTGTAATTCCATTGATCTTACTTTGTAAGTGGATATTATTTAAAAACACGAATATTGATATTGACTACTAATCTAGAATATTTTATTTGTATAAACGTATATATAATTGTAGAGCCAGAAGAGGAATTTATCAAAAAGGACATTCTTCGCTCAATTATAGTTTTGTTTTGTTTTATAATGACAAGTGATCATAAATAGTAGTAATAATTTCTGAATATCATCTTGTTCCATGAGTAGGAAGTATGAGAAATGAGTTTGTTTTGCTCGATTTGTGCCCAACACATCCCTCAGATGTTAACTAGGACATAATGGATGGAATTTAAGCACGAGATTTGCTGATTTTGTGCGTCACTGGTTTTGACTGAGTTTCACAGTGGAACTTAGCACAGAAGTCCAGTAGTTCAAGTTGTCATACTTCATGTACCACCACACAAAAGGTAAACTAAGGAAAGAGAAAAAGAGTCTCAAGAGGAGTATAAGAAACAGAAATGTGTGTGAGAGAGAAAGAATAGTAGTGTCGAGAAACATAAGGGTTTAATGAATCTATGAGATTACAAAGAGCGAATGCATCTCAGTCACTGGGATCGATTTATAACTATTTCACCAGTAGTGTCTCCGACGATTGGTTCTTGCAATCCCGGGGGCCCCAGTCGGGTAGTCTACACCTTCTTATGTGGCTCAAACCGACCGTCAAAGAATTCATGAAGTGATGATAGATTTCAACTTCATCGCCCCTAACTCTTTTCCAACCTACTGCAATGTCCGCTAACATCTCCCGTTGATAATGGCGTAGCCTAGACATGATTAGCACATGTTCCGAGCTACCCCAGTTGATTTAGCTTCACAACCTCATCGACTGACTTCCCCTTCTTACCTAACACTCTACTCCTTACTAGAGTATTACTCACTCTATTATACCACAAAGTAACATAGGAGGTAGAACGCAGACTATTAGGATCAAAGATAGTTAACCTTTTCATGTCTTGCACCTTAAGTGGCCATGTGTCACAGTCATATCGGAGCACGAAGTGAACTGCTAAGAAGTACATACATCTCTTAGTCGATAGCCAGATATCATGTATACTCCATAGATGGCGTAATTTGGCAAATGGAACACAAGTTTTCTGTATTCGTGCTGAGATTTTGTCAGCGATCAGTCCGTTGAAGGTGATACAACTTCCCAAATATATGAAGTGGTCAACACGCTTTACCGATTCACTCCCTATCTCTAAACTAAGAATCGATAGAGACCAATCCTGGAGCATCATCTTACATTTAACAGGAGCGAATAGCTCAGTGGTATAATGCTCCCTAGCCATGTGGGAGCCTCGGATTCCATATTGCTGAACATCACCTAGTATTTTAGCCAGCAGTAGCCTCAAAAAAGACAAGTTTTGAGGATGAGGCTAGTATTCCCATCCAGTAGAAAAAAACATCACTGCTGAAACCTGAAGTCCTACGTTCCACTCACGACTCAATGAATGGCAAGAAAAGATTGATACAATAGAGTCAGAAACTAATTTGTTCATATCTAATATCGCTGAATCATGTAGGAATTAATGAGATAGAAGACAAGCGTAGATAGACTGGATAAGATGAAATAAGGAAAGGTGAATGAAACGAAAGGTTTTAATTTTTGTAAGTATGGGTGCTTGCTAGTCAGATACAGGTGGTGTAAATATCTGATGGTTATTTCTCTAACTTCTGTTCAAGCTCGCTAACAGTCTACCTGGTTCGATCCACCTCAAAGAGTCCAATCAATTCAAAATATTCGGATTACCTCAATGAACTGGCAACATCATAAATTATATTCTTAATTTGCTAATTGATTTGCAATTTACGCATTTCGGAAAGGTGAAGTTTCACCACAATATGTGATCTGCTTGGTAATATCAGTGCCAATTAAAAAGCAAGCATATTTGCTCAGAACTATATACAGCTGATTAGATGAGAAATCGAGTGGTTTGAACTGATTTGTCTGTCTGAGTTGAGTCAAACTGGCTACACCACTGATGACCTCTGCCCCAAACGAGCGGAACGGTCTTCTGCAGCTTAGATCGTTTCTGGCTGACTGGCAAGGAATACTGGTTGATGTGAAGACTATCAATTACTCAGTAGTACATAGTCCTGTGCAAAAATGCTTCCAATCTTGATTGCCACTTTTGCTATCAAGATTACATGTTGCTTTCAGAGGGAAGTGTGGTGAAATTTCACCTCTTCGAACAGTGTAAATCGCAAATTGAGAATTTCATGAAAAGTTTTGATACTACATTTTAAAAGAGGATGAAGGAGTCCCATTTTAGAGCAGCAAGCTACTTTGTCTTATGCAGTTTTGTTTTGAAGGTGTAACTTATTGGCGTTAGCAATCGACTTTTGGCCAATTGATACTGTGTTCGAGTCTCGCTCTACCTATATCAGCTTCGGTGGTATCATCAAACCTCACCCATAATAAGTACAGACTCGAAGTGTGGCACACGATAATTGGGAGTTCTAACTGTCTAACATTGGCAGTTTAGATTAATAACCAAAGAGTTCATAATGTTATCGTATCTTAGTCTGAAAATCTATAGATTTTCCTGAACTTTGATCCTATTTTAACCAACTATGCACGTAACTGTAGGTGGCTGATATATGCGCAACATGTCTTAGTCATTTCAAAAATCAGTGGTTAACGCACTCGTAAAATGTCGTTTTCTGAAAGTATGAACTTACTAATTTGAGCTAAATATGGTGTTCCCAGCCTTTGTGACTAATGAAATGAAGGCAGCGATGGTCAAGTGATTGAATTCACTCTATTATTATAAAAGTTTTTGTATTCGCCAATGAGTGAAAAACAAAACGATATTGTTGTTTTTACTGGCGTTTCGCTAGTTAATGCTACTAATAGATTTATCAAGGTATTATTGGACCAGAATTTACAAAATCTGATCCTATATACAGCAACTCAATCATCTTTCTTCAGCACGAGGTGATTTTTGCATTGTCAAGCTGGTGAAGATAACAAAACCATCTGTAGATCGTTAGATTTGTTTGAAATTGCTTATCACATCTGTGTTGATTTTGTCACTTCATGAAGGGTGGTGGTGGTGTTGGAACCAGGTCAGATTCTGCCTTGGACCACCATTCCTATTAAAAACATTTAGATTCTATTTGATATGAAGTTCTTCTGATATTGGGCGATATTGCGATTTCGGAAATTTTTCTGGATCATTTCAATGTTGTCAAAATCAATTTTGTGACCTGATTCTATATTGCGTGTAGACCTATAGCTGATGATTTTTCAAGCTTTTCTAGTTTGAGTGTATTTCTCGGTGATCGAACAGATGCTCTACGGTGTTTAGTTCTTCTGGTCTTGATTTCTCGTGAGGTTCGTTGGATGTATACTGCATCAAATTCCAAGCATTTTATTTTATAAGCACAATCAGATTGAGAGACCTTGCGGATTTGGCCTTTTACATTGACAAGGTTGATTTTTGGTACATCTTGTCTTTAGAAGAGAACTGATGTTGTGTTTGTTGAGTACTCTTCTGATCTGGTTAGACGTTTCTAAGCTATATAGAAATACACATGTAGGGGGTCGTGTCTTCGAAATACTTTTTTTGGCATGTTTAATCTTGGTGTTGATTTTAGTAATCTAGTTCTTTGGATGGTTATTTTTCTGGAGGATTTCAGTAATATTTAGATTCACTCCAGTTCATCTACTTCTAGCTTATCCAATCGTATAAGAATGCAGTTTTGGACTTCTGAGTTAGGATGCGTGAAGAATATTCGTCTAAACACGGAATTAAGAAAAGGCAATTCAGTGATGAGATATTTTAGAACTCAGTGAAACGAATTATAATGCCTATTCGGTAAGATAGACTTCTACAGTAAACATATGATACATTTGGCATGGTTCTTACTCGATTTACATTCATGTATCGTTTGGAAGTACCTAAATGTGCTGTGTCTAGTCTTAGTTGCTGATGTTATGTGAATTGTCTTAGTCATTTCGGCAGTGTGATCACCAAGGCGGTTACCTTCTATCTTGATGTGGTTTAAGGTATTTAGCGAGAAGCAATGAACCCAATGAACAAGATTTATCTGCTACCTTATAGGAATCGATGTCGTCTCAAGGATTTGAAAATATGTCATTCAGTGTCATCATCAGAGATGCCGCCATGATTAACCTCCTGTAGACCTATAATGAATAGATGGTTTGGTTACTGGTGTGTAACTAATGTCATCTGTCTACTCCATTGTATTGATACGTCTCAGACCATAACGACTCAGCTGTACCTGGTTTTCAATAGTTCTCTCCGACTGAAGTCAGTTCATGAACTAATTTAAAAACTTATGGTAAAATTAGCAGAATATCTTGAATAAATATTATTAGTTTCATTTGTCTAAGGAACAGATAGCTTGTTGATCTGCGTGCCGTTCATTTTGGAAGTCATATGTTCAGCAAAGACTGTCCACCTATAAACATGCAGAATGGAGTTTGATCTTTTCTCCGACGTACTCTGTAACTATTCGAGCTCTTTAATAAATACTGAGTAACATATATATATATATATATATATATATATATATATATATATATATATATATAATATGCTTTCAGCTGGTTCAAACATCTCACTGTCAACACTGTTTTATTTCACTCTTCTACTTGGCTGGATAACGGATAAAAATGGACCATACTTGTTTACCACAGTATTTTTTACTCACTAAAATGAAGCAATCTAAGAATTAGGTAACCCTTTCACCGGTTTAAATTCGATTTCATCGAGAAACGAAGGACAAGAACCGGTTAGGCGTTTAACTAAGCCACCTAAATTTTATAGTGAGAACTATAGGGCAACAGAATGTAAAAAGTATTTCATCATGAGATGACATTAGTTAGAGAACCACCGGAAACCTGGGAGTACTGGACAGCTGGTTACAAGGTCTTGTAACCAGAAGGTCTTGGGTTCAAAAACCGGTGGGTGCGTACTGCTGAAGAGTCCCGAACTAGGACGAAACAGCTGTCCAGTACTCCCAGGTTCTCCAATGGTTCTCTAACCAATGTCAGCTCGTCATGAAATCATGTAACCAACCCAATCCCTACAAACCAACACTTAAATATAAAAAAATTTGTTGTTATTCATTTTTTTTTCGTATATGGCAATGTCGCACTATTCTCTTTACATTGTGAAAAGTTAATAAATTTGTTTTGACTAAATTAGTAAACTCTATTGATTACTTTATTTACATCGTCTGGTTATGTAACACAGCACAGTTTATGATATGAATATATATAAAAATACTGAGGTATGCATTAATTAATTCATTTGGTGTTTGTTTGCTTGTCTGATATAAACAATTGTCTATCTCATGATTAAGTGTATCGAATTCATAATTTGCATGTCAGTGGTATTCAACTACTCATATCAGTTGTTCAGTAGTATATATCGCCGAACAATTTATGCTTGCTTCTTTTGATTGCCATTTATTGTCATCTGAATAATAATTTTGGTTTTTTAAATGAAATTGTGGTAAAAATTTCACCTCCTCAAACTGTGTAATTTGCAAATTGGAAATTTCACTCAATCAATGTATTACTAGTTTACCTAAGTAGCTAACTAGAATTCAGGTGGTTTGAAATGATTGGACTCTTTGAGGTAACTGAAACCAGGCAAACTGCTGGTGAGCTTGGCTGCAAATGTTCTAAATAGCTGTGTGATGTTAAGATCACTCTGATTTGGATAGTAAGCCCTACTGTTTGAAAACTGTTCATATCAATTGACGAGTAGGAAATAGCATGGTTGACTTTGGTTTTGTTTTCTGTGATACTGACTATCTTTATTTAATTCACCTGAGTTATTCAATAAAAGCATTTAAAAAAATAATAAATAGTGTAAGCGGTCAAAAACAGGGTTTACGGGGACTTCATATAATCTATTGAAAATTCATTTAACTAAGGGGACCCTATTGTTTCAAAAACAAAACATTAAAATGTTACAGTGCCGATTCCACCACGAGTCAACCTTATTCAGAGAATCATAGAAGAGAAGGGAGTAATGGACATCTGTTTTGTCTTGATTAAGGGACCTTCAGCAGTGGTTGCCGATAACCCCACCAGACGTCTAATCCGTGGTTTTGACGTTATGAGGCAACTATTTGACTGTAATTCAAAAACTCATGAATTCTAAATTCCATCATTTTTACCTAAGAATTAATCTATATCCTAATATAGATATCAAACTCTAGCTCATTAGTGGTTACTGGATGAATATCTTGAAGTTCTGGTAGGAAGTCGTGACTGATAGGGTTCACCAAGTTAGGGCGAAACAGATGCTGAACGTTGGCATTGGTTAGCTGTAGCGCTAGCCCGCCAACTAACTGAAGTAAGAACTCACCAGCAGTTGTATGTCATCCAAGTAACCGAATGGTCAACGAACTGGCCTGATAATCTGGGGAACCACGATTCAATCCCCAATGGGTCCGTGGGTCCCTCTCGTTGAGGTTTCCAAAACTAGGACTAGACATAACTGTCCAGTACTCCTTGGTGTGCTTTTAGAAGTGTGTGGGCGGTTGTTACTTCCCACACCGTGGAAGTTGACTGATTCTTCGGGTACCTGAAGCAGAAAGAGGGTTAGTGTTGCGTGACCACAGAGCCCAGGGGACAAGTGCTTGAGGCCCGTCACACACGGCCTGTATGAACTGGTTTCTGGGATTGGTTCCGTATTAGTAAACTTACCGCCGGTTATGGACCACCGTAGGGTAAGTCGCGATGTACAGTTTTTTGGGGTCGACCTTTTCTAACCCCTCTCTCCGTAGTGGAGAGACAGCATAGCTGGTATGCTGGTCATCTGAGGGAAACACCTCACTCCTGTCATACCCCTGTTCCCCAGGAGTACGACTTCGCCCTCAGACCCCCAGAAAAGTGTATGAAAGATTCTTACATGATGCCGGTAACTGCTTTTAGTCTAACAGCTATCCTAACAACCTTCCTGGCATGATAAGACCTTCAGGAACAATAATTCCTGCCAATGCAGCTTTTTTGGTCATCGCGATGTGCTAGCCCGACCACCACGTCAAGGTAGAAGCTATCGGTTGGTAAAAACCAATGGTTGGAAACAATTGGTGATATGGCTCAAAATCGTTCTGAATGACTAGCGCAGATGCATCCACTCCCTGTGACTTATGATTTCAAATGAAACTGTTTTGTTCTCCGTTACTACTATTCCTTTGCCTTACATCTCAGTTTACTGTCTCTATTATACATTTCTTCTACTTTCTTCTCTTGCTTTGTGTGCTACAAGGAGGGAGTGTGGCGACTTGAACTGCCGCACATTTGTGCAAAGTTCTATGTCGAAAACAGACAGACAGTACTCCTTGGTTTTCAGTGTTTCTCTAACTGATATCATTTCTGATAAAAAAAATATTTGTCGAAATCCCAACAAATTATTAACCAAAAATCAATAATCAAATCTTATAATTTATACATTTGTTCCGGCAACGACAGTGTTTTTAAGATCAATTATTTAACTATCTATTTTCCCGTATCACTTAAAAAGACATACAAATACCAAATGACAAAATAAAATATTTCTCTGACACTATTGATTTTAAATGTACGAACAAGTTATAAAATATTCATGCCTATTATTTCCCAAATCTGTGTGTACAATATTACAAGGAAAATTGATTGATCATTGTTCCTATAGTATAGTATCACTTATTTGGTATGATGATAAGTAAATATTCTATTGGTCGGTTTAAACAAATGTCTCAAGGTCATGGAGGATAGATAACCTTCTCAACTCATTGACAAAACTGTATACATTCTATGCATAAAAATGATCTCATTAGATAAATTTTTGGTGGATTTTAATGCAAATCAGAATTTCTAGTGTCTTCAATATATGCATAGGAATAATATATCAACATTAGTACATGAATTCTTAGACTTCATGGCATCAGGATGAAATTACACTATCGGTGGATGATAATACTGACTAACCTGTTGATTGTAAATGGAATATTATCTATCGTTTCGCATGGGATAAATCAAACACTTTTATGCTCTGAATGTTCACTGCATTTTAACAAGTCATCCAATCATTTCAATATAGGAAAGGTAAAGTTATCTTGGCCTTTTTCTTGAGGGAATTTAACTCAGAAAAATATCCTTAAATGTAATCAATTAAAATAATGCTTCATTTATAATTTTTTCATTTTATAAATGTTTATTTAAAGATACTCTTGAATTCTTTAGAGATCTCTGACTTCTTGTCCAGTTGATAGCAGTTCGATTGTAAATCTCATGGGTTTCATATTCTCCTTATATCAGGACACCGTCTAAAACAGTAACCATTGATTTTAATTCCTATGTCTATTTTACTACTTGTTTTAATGTTAACTAGGCTCATTATATCTCCCTGCATAATCCGAACATAGGCGGAGGTGCAGAAGAGGGAGTATTGGACATCTGTTTTTCCCCACTTTGTGATTATTCAATAGTAAGCACTTATAGCACACTCGGGGATCGAATCCAAGACTTTAGGATTATGAGGCCAGCCCATTAACCATACCATCACTGGAATAGAAAATAATCATCAGTCAATTTGCGATATATAAAGCTCCTACTAATCACCACCATCAATGAGAATGTGTCAATCCATTTAAATAACTCCCTGCTGTCAGTTACTGTTAAGGGTTAGATTTGAATTTCGAGTTCAGTAACGTACAACGCGTAACACTACAGTAAAACAAGTTACAATAGAAATTTAACACACTTTTCTTCATCACTAGCAATCAGTCCTGTAAGGACTGTTGTAAGAACGTCATAGTGAAATAAAACATTAGCATGATGAGCTAACTTAGTGTTTTGCAGCATTTATATGTATACATATATCATAAGACCGAAGTTTCTCGTAAAATATATGTATAGGAGTTCTAGTGAAAATTCGTGACCAGTGAGGTCCAATCAGTCAGGAGTTGGGATGGAATTCCCACCGATGACATTGGTTGATGTTTGCGCTAAAAATCATGAATTGGTAGAAGTTAGAATTCATGGGCTGGGCATTGAATCAGTTCCCAGTGACTGGATGGTATACGAGTTCGCCTTATAACCGGAAGATTCTTGGTTCGAAACCCAGTGAATGCGTACTGACGATAAGTCTCAAACTGGGACGAAACAGCTGTCTAGTACACCATGGTTTTCAATGGTTCTTTAACTTATATCAATCCTAGGTCAAACTCGAAGTGAAACAAATCAACTCTTGAAAAATTTAAATAAATAAATTTGTTATTAGGGTGCTTATTAGTCAGTGATAATTGCGTAACCAGAGACAATAAAAAAAATATAGTGAGCAGAATTCAAGGGATGGAGAATTGAGTTTAGTATGAAATTCAAAAGAATAATGCAGAAAATCGAAGTTGATGCAATCAGAGCGAGTTACCAAGGTAACTGAAGTCCCACAATGGATTCCTTTTACACAATTTTCAGGTTTTAGCTGTTTTATTGTCATGATCTCAACAAACCGAAGAAGACTTCGTGTGTCTTGTTTGTTGATTATTTTGAATGCTCCCAACGCGTCTATTCGGTCTCTCATGTGTTTGATAATTGACGAGGTCAAACTATTCGACCAATTCAGTTGAAGGCTGTCTGGTACATATTCAAAGAATCTGACGTAAGTCATCATTTATTTTCCCAAAATGTAGCTACACCCGTTGATACTCATAAATTGATATATGCATTTGGAGGTAACAATTTAGGGGGTGTTTGTTATAGGTAGCTGAAGAGAACCGACAAAATGCAACGGGTCAGTGTTATTCTGCAATAATGTTTTGCTCTTTATGTGTTTAAATTTATATGCAGGAATTCGTGTATATAATTTTCAAGTTTTGCTTTTTGATGGATTTGACTGATTTTCAGTTAGATAACGAATTGAAATCAGTCAGAGAACCTGTGAAACCCAAGGAATACTGGAAAGCTTTCTACTCCTAGTATGAAACTCTTGAGTAGTTCACACCCATGAACCTAGCGACGACCACACTTTATTTTTATTTTATATTCCACTCAGAATACAAGGAATGAATATTAATATAATGTTAGTTCCAGGATTTCATCATGAGCTGAAATTTGTTAGAGAACCATTGGAAAACCTGGGAGTACTGGACAGCTGTTTCGTCCTAGTTTGGGACTCTTCAGTAGTACACACCCACCGGGATGTCGTGAATTGGCAGAAGTTAGAATTCAAGGACCATTGGGTAGGGTCCCAGTGGCTTAATGGTATATGAGCTCGCCTTGTAACCAGAAGGTCCTGAATTCAAATCCCGGTGGGATGCGTACTGATGAAGAGTCCCAGACTAGGACGAAACAGCTGTCCAGTACTCTCAGGTTTTCCAATGGTTCTCTAACTAATGTCAGCTCATGATGAAATCCTGAAACCAATCAAATCCCTACAAACCAACACTTGAATATAATATTACTTAATTTATTGAAAGAGAATACTCATTTATCGAAGTAAAAAGTGCCGAGACTACACAAACTTCTCATAATATATACGTGGACCTGTAGTCAGTTAATGACTACTAGGAGTGTTAATAAAAACTCCTTTTCTCCATATCGGCCAGTTATTAGATATCAGTCTCTCCAATGGAGATCGAAATCTATCTGTTTCCTCACAAGCTGAAATCTGCCATTCAGATGTAGTTATTCAATGAAGTTTTTATTGTTGATAACGGATATTTAGTGTGCTCATAAGCTATTCAGCTGAAACAGTATGGATATTGAAGTATTACTGGTCAGCTGATATTTTTATATAATTGTAGTCCCAATACAGTCATATAGGAGGTCATGCGAAGAGGAGATGAAATCATGTGAGCAGACGTGAAGCCAGGTGAAAACGTTGGTGGAGAACCGAACTTAATGGAGACGTGCGGCTGAAACCACATGTCCCTCTAGGAACTAAAGGAGACAATAATAATAATAGTAAATTCAAGGTGGCACAGTGGTTAGGACTCTCGCCGACCATGCACATGGTCCGGGGTTCGATCTCCCGCCGGCGCACACCTGATATCTATGGTCGGCCTGCGAAATTTGGGCTACCGATATCACATGCTGAAAATTCCATACTTGCAGCAAAAATACGGGGTGGAATCAAGCTGTAAATCAAAAATCAAAATCAATTAATTACATAGGTGTTACAAACAATATAAGGAAAGAAAATTATGAAATAAATATCCAATAAATCTTAAGTGAGAGATGGTTAACAGAATAACCACTAAAGATTTTCAGGTATTAGCTGGTAGGGATTTGATTGGCTGCAAGTTAGATTATGAACTGATATCAGTTAGAGAACTACTGAATAGCTCTGAATGGTCTCAATTTGGGAATTTTCAATAGTCTGCGCTCATCACCTCATAGCGGATCGAGGAAAGACTAGAAGGTGAGCTCTTCGAACATCTAGCCTATAGGACAAAATCCAGTGGTCAGTTTGTGATAAAACTTAAAATTAATTAAATATTTCCAAATCAACACGTGAAAATTAATCTGCTGCTCACGAATGACTGACTCCGGTATGAAGCTGCCTGGAGTACTGGCAGTAGGTGGTGATGAGTAACGTCTATCTAGTCAGACGTGATGACACTATCACAAATTTATAGAGGCTAGAATTCATGGGTGAATCAATTTCATAACAGCGGTTGTGTGGTCGAAGGGCTTGCCTCGTCACATAAACGTCCTGAGTGATGTCATATGTACTTATTGCTGGAAAAACCCAAAGTGGGACGAAACAACTGTTTCGTTAGTCTCTGGTATTCACTGACTCTTCAACTGATGTCAATTCGTAGTCGAGTTTGAAAATGAAGATGTTAAATGTAAGCAAAAGAAAAGATCATACATAAAATATTTATGATTTTAAACGTCATGTACGATAAACAGATTCCGAGTAATTGTTTTGATACTTATCGTTCCCTCAAGCAGAAATTCCATACTTCATTTGTGAATTTAGATTAGCAGTCTATGGTTTCATGGATTGGTGTCATATTCCGCCTGAGTACAATTAGCTTTATCGCAGTTTACATTCCCTGTACCTAACTCATCTCATATCAATACAGATGATGACACTGTAGACAATATATCTACCAGGCACCATATTATGTGTAGGGTTACAGCTCTATGAGCTGATTTACTAATAACTTGAGACTATTCCAGATAGTTTAATCTTCAGAAATATTATTTTCCACTAAAACATCATAATTTTCAACTTCTGACCTTCATTGAACCCCTAGAAACAGAAAATCTGTCCAGATGTATGCGACTGTAATACTTCTTGGTCAGATATCAATGAAAAGTCGATATGCCCAGAAAGCATTCCAATTATTCGTGATAGCTGTAACTGTTGTTGGTATTGTGCACGTCAATCAGGTGAAATGTGTTCATCACGAATTAAATGTGATATTGACAAAGATTTATTCTGTTATTATCATCGTCATCATTATAATCATTACCATCATTTCGGTAACTTTGAAGAAATGCAGAACAGTCATTCAGAGAAGTCGAAGCTTATTACTGAAGGACAGCTTACACTAATACCAGAAAGTACTAATGCGACTGGAATATGTTGGAGTAAGTCCTTCGATATTTATTCAAATAACGCATAAACAATTATTTATATTTCTCTTTGATGATATTCGTGGGAAAAAAGCATATAGATATCTTCAACACTGTTAGACACCTCCTGAAAATGTTTACCAGACACAAAAGAAAGACGTTTATGAGACTAAAAATATCCAATACTTAAGGCAGACTTTTTCAGCAACCGATATCATTTACAGAATGATTCAAAATCACTGACTACTGGACACCTGTTTGGCCCTAATGTAAGACCCATCACCAGTGTTCACCCACGACTCTATGGGAGGTCGTAACGGTTACTATTCCTTCACCGAGACTCTCTGTGAATTCTAAATTCTGCCAGTTTAAGGTATATGAGTCAAAGTTATCGGTGAGTAGCTGTCTTCACACCCTTCAGAATGAACCCCTCTAGTTTTGACTACTCATTAGACCTCCAAGAACTCCATTCTACAGCCAGTCTCTAATGAGCACTAAATTATTTTTCACGTGTCTACCTGTAGGGTTGCATGCTAATGTACATCTAAAACTAGGGCGTAAAAGCTGTGTAGAGCTTAGGTTCGTGGTGAAACCTGCTTGGAAATCGGCTAAATCTCTAACTACTTAGCAAATTGATACAGATATCTTTCTGCTGATACACGATTAGTTAGCTTTAGATTGTTACTTTATTTTCTTTAATGAACAACTAAACTGTTTAGGTTTAAAATAATAAATAGGAAAAAATATCTGCGTCTCCTCTATACAACAAAAATGTAAAACACCATTCAGAAGGTCTGTAAAGAAGCTGCTCACTAGTGACGTCAGAATTTATTCCTAATTCACAGTATCACCATTTAACTGCCTATTATTATTATTTCTTTTGCTTCCTAGTGTAACAAAGTGCTTCAGTCGCTCATCTCACTTTCGCTCTGTTCTGCAAAGTACTTTTTAGCTGGTTTCATGATTACCCATAAGTCCTCATTTCATCCTCACATGATCTCCTCCAGGTCACTCTAAGACTCTCAACTCGTTTCGCATTCGGGTTCCACTTGAGCCCCTCTTGCCTGATATTACTCTGCCGAGTAAAGCCAATGCGTCTCCATCTCCTTCGCAATATTTATTGGGTGATAGATTCTCGGTTTTTCATGGCGTAATGCTCAGTAATATGTTGTTTAAGCGGTTTAGTGTATTCTTTGGCATTAAATTTGATAATACTTATTTCTGTATTAAGTAACTAGTGATGCTTAGTTCAGAAAGACAATTAAGCCACTTCATAATAAGAACGTAATGGATATTCGACTTATATTTTATGTCAAACAGGTGTGAAGTATATACTCAGCATCTGTATCAAAAGCATTAAACTTTGCGTGACTGTCAGTATGCTAACTGTGTGAGATTGTCTTGATAAACAAAAGGGTCCAAAATGCAAGTGGCGTATAAGATCCCGATGTATATTTAATATTGATTTGGATAAAATATAAGGGATATTCATAAGGTGTTGATTGTCTCCTGTTAATCCCAATACTATTCATTCCATCTGTATTGAGTTTGCTTCGTTTGTTGTCACTTATTGCTAATTAGGCCCTGTTAGGAGTTGTAACTTTCCTGTCATCCTTTTAATTCACCGGATTTCGCAATCAATATGATTGCTTCCCTGAAGACATAAATCTCTCTCTCTCTCTGTATATATATATATATATATATATATATATATATATATATATATATATATATATATATATAATTTATATCGGCTTATAAGTAGCAAATACCATTCTACTATCTATATGATATGAAGTTATACATACTACCTCGCTATTTCGTTTGATTTCTTGATACCATTTTAGTACAGCCCAGAGTGATGATTTTGTGAACATTTTGTTAAATAAAAAATGATACGTTTTGTATATTTTTTTGTCTTAATCGAGATCTTTGTTTGAATCGTAACTTTTTACTAGTATGAAATGGTATCCGAGGGTGATTTGTCTTATGTTAACGGGTCTTATCTGGAAGCGTCTGGTGACACTGACCTTTCAGATTCTCGTCTAAATAATCATGTTGACAATATCATCGGAAAACTCGCACTATATCCCTCCAGGAAACAGTTTGAAATGACTATTAGGGTAGGATGAAAACCAAAGGACACGCTCATGTGAATACCACCAACAGCCATCATAGCTTTGTCTTTAAATCATATCCTTACAATGAAGAATGTAAATGAGATGGCTTCCCATCGTAATAAACATCGTTGTTTGTATCATGAATCTAACATAAACCAAGATGTTGAGGCTCCACAGTTTCCATTAACCTACTCTTTTCCCGTTGATTCGGCCATTTACATATCTTTTGGGGCTTTCACCCATCCACACATATGTCACATATCTTAATAACACGAATGTCCCAACCCCAAAGACCGCAGACAACATGTGCATGAAAATAAAATAATTCACGTAAAAAACCACACCCACAGAGTGGATGATGGCTTCAGTAACTTTAAGATCACCTTCATTTAGCTAGCCATTACCATTGACAGACGTGAGAGGTTTCAAAAGCTTCATATTAACCAGTAGTATATACCACCTTATAATAAATAGCTGAATGCCTTTTGAGTGAATGAAACTGATGATAATAAAATGATATAAAGTGTAAATTTGACTGAAAACTGTTTGTTAAATTATTTCGGTTATAGTTGTATCCACCGACAAGAAACACTTCCAAAACTTCTGAAGTGAGAGAGTTTTGTCTAATATCATTTGTTAAGTTTGATAGTATTCATTTGTGTTTTAAAGTCGATTATATTATGAAGAATATTTATAGATCTAATGGATGGTTTTGGTGTAGTTGTGTTCTCTGAAGTAGATGGTTAAGTAGCGAAGCCTTAATTGTCTCACTAGACAATATCCTCAGTAACCACTTCAGACAAACACAACTACGCCGAATTCCACTATATTACCTGTTCATATTCTTGGAAGTGACCATGAAAAATATGAGGATCTACGACGTTTTCATCTAAACATCCTCCGTAATTCCTTAGTTGATGAGAACTTTATTAATCTCAATTAGTATTTAATCATAAATTGAGACCAACCAGAGAATCACTGAAAACTGAATGAAACTCACTAGACTTCTCATTTCTATGGATCCTATCCATCTGGAACTGACGCAAAGCGAAATAGACTTTAAAAACCTATATTACTGTTGTTCTATTTTAAAAAGTATTTGGAATTATGTACTTATACTACTGGCTTATTGCTAGTAACATTACAGCAAATAGTTACATTTTTATAAGTGGTTTAAAGGAAAGTAACTATCAGTGGAATCTAGGCTGCGCATTTCATCTCATTTGGGACTCGTCAAATGAGTGTGCCTGCAACCCCGAATGACCGATTTAAACAAATACTAAAAGTTGTCCATTGAATAGAAGCTGGGTGTCATGGCCCAAGTAATTTATTAGATAACTTTCTGGCGTTTGAAACGGAGAGTACTGGGAATACTGTCACTCACTGGGGGATTGTACGCACATCCAGCCGACAAGTCCCATGTAGGAAAAAAATGAGTATTTTGGATTCTGATGATGCTCATCATTCACCAAATTATTTCAACTTAATCGTCAGACTTCACAGAAGTGTTCGTACTAAGAGTCAAATGGTTAATGGGGAAATCAAAATTGACTTTAACACTTTTTATCAAGTTGAGAGACTGCACCATCATAAGTGAATCACTTAGAGAAAATAATACCTTAATTAATCCGTTTCATATCTTGGTTATTATTTGAACAAACCTGCCAATTTCAACATTCTTCTTGGGATATTTGGCCGATGACATGATTAACAGGAGAATAATAGGGAATTTCATAGTAGCATAATTTATAGAATCCATTTTTACTGTTCAGCAGCTTATTTTACCTAGCGCTGTTCACACTAATGATGAATAAGTAAGTTACAGACTGATATGTATATATGTTAGAACGACTACCCTTTTTCTGTTGGAATAGTTCGTTATATACACGTAATTTTACCTAACCTTAAAACTGCTATATATTTTCAATCTAAACCTCAGAAGGCTAAGACTGGGTTAGACATTGGCTGCTGAGGTAACTGAATTGCGTGTTACCAACATTTAGATTTAAACTGTTCAACTACTGGACAGTAATCACTGTTATTTTTCTAGTCTAGGGTTTTATGTCAGTTGCCTCCAGCCAACTAAAATCAGTGCTGAGATTTAGACAAATGCAATTCATATCTGATACCTATCTGTGTATATACAATGCTCTAAATTCTTGTTTAAATATTCACCTGAATGATGACTTAAACTTATATTCAGATTTGCATAGAAACTCAAGAGTGTTGATCAAGTTATACAATTTTTATAGACATGGGTTTCTATTACAAATATGTGTGTGTGATTATCTATCTCCATGTCTTGAGATTCAACACAGAAAACTTAAAGATCTTAACTGTATCCTTTGACGTGCTTTCTAAACTTATTTACCTGGAACAGATATTTCGCATATCAAGATATTGGCGACACTTATTGTACATGAAGAGTTGCCTAGGTTAAGTTAGGGACCTGGAACTCTTTAGCTGAAAGCTGATTTCTTGAGCCAACGGGACACATTTTCACACTGTCTACCTTTAAAATGACATCTATTAAAGTGAGCTGTGTGTCCATGGTTCAGCGGTGGGATGCTCACCACAGTCACTCAGGGGATCCGGGTTTGATTCCTGGGTATGTTATTCCCAAAAACCGCTTCTAGTAGACTAGCTAGTAGTAAGCATAATAGATAAGGAAGGTTGGTCATGAGGCTAAGAACTGCATCCAGTAAAAAAAGGGCCAGCGCTACTTCAACTTTAAAGCCTAGAACTTGAAACCCTATTTCCACTTAGAACCCAAGGAACTGCTGAGAAAAGAAATTCCAGCCTAATTAACTGGTCAAATAAAAGTCATAGATTTATGAAAATAATGTATAGAAGTGGCATAAAAATTCTACTCAGGATACCTTACTCTGAAGTTCG